AGGTGCCATTCGCACCCTCTGGCCTCAAGGTGCGCTACTTGAAGGTGTTTGAACCGAAGCTGAACTACAGCGACCACGATGTCATCAAATGGGTGCGCTACATTGGCCGCAGCGGCATTTATGAGACCCGCTGCTAGCTGCCTAGTAGCAGCTAGCCTGTCTCCCCACCCGCCCTTTTCCACAGGTCTGGGTGCCCTGGGCCACCACACTTCAGTGTCTCCTCCCTCCTGCTTTGCTGCCTTCCCTTTGCACCAGCCCCTGAGTCTAGGTCTGGACCAACCACATTGTGAGTGGGACTGGTGGAGCAGTCCCCGGGCTCCCTGGGAGGGTGGTTTCTGGGGCTCCTACTTCACCATCCGTCTGCCCTGGCCCAATGCCAGGCTCTGTGTTCTGTGACCAAAGCCAGGTGGGCTCCCTCTCCTCCCCTCCCCTGTGGCCACGTCTCTCTGGAGTGGGAGGGTTGGCTGCCCCTCACCTCGGAGCTCCCCCAAAGGCCAGTAACGGATCCCCAGCCCTCAATCCCTACTCTGCTTTGGGATAGTGTGAGCTTCATTTTGTACACGTGTGACTTTGTCCAGTTATAAACCCAATAAACTCTGTAGAGCGGAGTTGCTAAGTGTTAATGCGGGAGCTCGATGGGGAGGGGGACTGTTGGAATTGCTCTTCCCAAATCTCACGCTGCCTGCTATGAGTAGAATTTTACATTCTGAATTCTCTTAAGACTCTTATCTTGTGTCGATTGTTAGGCCCTTCATGGTTATCCAAGCCCTTATCCTGACTGGTGTTACCCCAGGTCTCCTGTCTCCCCAAAACACAACCTCAAGGGCAAGCAGCAACACCTGGTCCCAGTCCCCTGAGGGTAGAGATTCTTTCCCTAATTCACTTTCAGCTTTAGGCAGGTATTCTGTAATTAGCAGAGATTAAGCAAGTTTTACATTTGGATTTTCCCACCATCCTGAGAAACTGACATCTCAATTCTGTCCTCTTCCCAATTACCCAGGCTTCCCAAACATTGGTGAGTGGGTGATAAAAGAGATTCTCTTTTCTGTAACTTCCTCTTCTCCAAAGAATCTTGTGATGAGCTTGTCCTTGAGGGGAGTATTCCATACCCTGCTGGTGTATTGGAGCAGATAAAAGCAAATTTGCCCTCACCATCTTTCCCTTGTTTGTCTTCAGCCATTTTAAACCTAGAAAATCTATTAGAGAAAATTTCAAATATAAACAGAAGTATCGAGATATAATGAACCTTCGTGTCCTGTCATTCAACTTTAACAATTATCAGCTCACGGCCAGTTCCTTAGTATCTCATGATTTGTGTTCACACGTAATCCAAGAGTCCTGTGGAATTTTTTACTTGTGTCTGGATCTAAACAAGGTCCACTGTGGTCAATGAATGCTATTTATTTATCTATTTATTTAGTTATTTATTTGAGAGGGGCCAGGGGAGGGGGAAAGGGGCAGAAGGAGAGGGAGAGAATTGTAATCAGGCTCCTCACCCAGCATAGAGCGCAATGCAGGACTCAATCTCATGACCCTGAGATCACCACCTGAGATGAAATCAAGAGTCCAGTACTTAACCAACTGAGCCACCCAGGTGCCCCTCACTTTTTAAATTCTATAAACCATAGGTTCTCCTCAGCTCTTGCAATGTTGTTGAAGAAGCCATCATTTGTAGTTTCCCCAACAATTCCTCTTCCAGGGGCACTTAACCAGGACGCTTAACGAAGCGTCTGCCTTTGGCCCAGGTCATGATCCCAGGGTCCTGAGATGGAGCCCCACATCGCATCTGGCTCCCTGGTGGTCGGGAAGCCTGCTTCTCCCTCTCCCACTCCCCCTGCTTGTGTTCCCTCTCTCTCTATCAAATAAATAAATATTTTTAAAAATTCCTCTTCCATCTATTGCCTATAAAGTGGTTGTTATATCTAGTAGCTTAGCTTTTTAAACTTTTTTTTTTAAGTTTTATTTAAGTAATTTCTACACCCAAGGAGGGGCCAAACTCGGGACCCTGAGATCAAGAGTTGCATGCTCCTCTGAGCCAGTCAGGTGCCCCAAGCTTTTTAAACTTTAAATAGTTGGATTATCTTTCTAGATGGCAAAAGGATAATGGATCTTAGGTGAAAATCTTCAGGTTGGAAGAATATTCATGTTAAATGTAAAGCAGTAGCATCATTTGGGGGAAATTCCTAACTTCTAGAGGGAATCAGTGAAAGTAGCTTTATACACTCATTTACTGAGCTTCCTGGTGCAGAGAAGCCTGTTTTGGGTGTGTAGGTAGGGAATAAATACTGATGAATTTGCACTGGTCGATCTCGTTTTCTTGCCCTTTGGCGGTTAAGTGAGCTTGTGCCTTGGGGTGACGTTTGGACTGCGTGAGCACAATTTGCACAGGTCCGCTGACCTGTCAGAGGTGAGAGAACTGAGGCTGGCCGCCCGGCTAATACAATAAACCCGTAGGCCCTGGGGACCAGAACAAAACCCGTGGGCCGCCCAGAACTGTGCAGGAGGCTTCTGAGAGGCCAGGGACCGACCATGAGTCAGCAGAGCTCTCGGTGGTCTCCAAAATGGACCCGGCTGGGCGCGCTGAGACAGGCGCGCCTCAAGGGAACCCAGAGATCTAGCGAGGCCCGTGTGCTTTATCAACCGCCTGTCTCTTGGGAGGTTCCCACCCGCGGGGCCACGGCCGTGTCGTGCACCCCGCCGCCGCCGCCGCCGCCTTTCGGAGCGCCACCTCCCAAAAGGCAGCGAGAATCGCACATGTGGCTAGTTTTTTAGCGGAAACGGCGTTGCGCAAGCGCAGAGAGCAGCTCGAGCGTAGGCTCTGAGCGGCGCTTGCGCACGGTTCCTCCAGCCCCGTTCACCCGGTCCACCGGGTTCCCGGCACTCCGCGCCTTTCTTACATCACCACTACGCATGCGCCTTGGAAGGAGGGGCGAGCTTTTGGGAGACCGGCAGGAGGCGCGTCTTGGCTGCCGCCTAACGGCGCCTGCGCGGACGGGAGCCCGACTGGAACATGGCGACTTGCGCTGAGATCCTGCGGAGCGAGTTCCCCGAAATTGACGGACAGGTCTTCGACTACGTGACGGGTGAGCGGAACCGAATCTGCGCGCTGGGGAGGCCAAAATGGAAGTCATTGGGAGAAAGACTAAGGGAGGGCAGTGCCGGGACCGCTGCTAGGCCTCTCCTCTGCGTGACCTCTTGTCCCGAGGGCAGGTTGGGTCTGGGGCGCGGAGTGGGGCCGTGTTTCGGGGACTAAAACGGCTTGTGTGTCTACCCTACCCGGTATCTTCCTCGACCTGCCACGCCCGGCCCAGGCGTCTTGCACAGCGGCAGCGCGGACTTCGAGTCTGTGGATGACCTGGTGGAAGCGGTGGGGGAACTGTTGCAGGAGGTGTCCGGGGACAGCAAGGATGACGCGGGCATCAGGGCTGTGTGCCAGCGCATGTACAACACTCTGCGCCTGTACGTGCCAGGGTAGGGGGATTCGTGGGGGCGATGGGAGGGCGGACGGTAAGGAGACAAGACGTAAGGGAAGAAGGTCTGATGGCTGTAGAGCTTTTTACTCAATTCCTAACTCTGCGCTTTCTGTTCCTACCCTAAAGGGATGAGCCACAGACCCAGGGAAACAGCCAGGTGCTACTAGACGCCCCCATCCAGTTGTCAAAGATAACAGAAAACTACGGTGAGAGTGAGGGAAGATTGAACTAGCTGCTCTCTGCCCTTGTCTCAGCCTCCATCCCCCACCCAGCCAGCCTTCCCCTGGAGCCCAGGACTCCTGGTACCCCTTTCCAACAGAACGAGGATGTAGAAGCTAGTTGATGTCTTTACTGAGGGCAAAAGAGGCCATTGATGAAGGGAGTAGGGTTGGAGAGTTTTCCAAGCTCTTAGGTAGGGTAGGAAGCTTATGGGCCTTGGGGCTGGACACTTAGGTTTACTTACCAATTTTGTGACTTTCTAATCAACTGCATGAGCTTGTAGGAGTTGCTTATCTGCCTCAGTCTCTATTCTTAATCTGGGAAGTGTTTTTTTTGGTTTGTTTTTGGTTGAAATATGGGGAGGATGATAGCTATTTCTGGGATTGTAAGGCTTTCCTTTAAATGTCTGTGTCTGTGTCTGGTTCATACTAGTTACTCAAAATGTTAGTTTCCCTTCCCTCAGGGAGAAGGTGACTGCTTTTCTTATCGCTTACAGACTGTGGCACCAAACTTCCAGGACTGCTAAAGAGGGAACAGTCCTCGGTGAGGAGGAGGAAGAAAGGGAGGGGTCTGTGTCTGTGGTTGGGGTGGAAGTTGACTATCTTTAAATATTGGAGGATTTTTCCGGGGGTTTCTGATTATGTCTTTTGTTGAAAGCAGGGTAACTTAAGATGTTCTTTCTGGGGCTCCTTTCTGAGCCTGCAACGTAGGCTGAAATGGTTGTGTTTGGACCTTTAGACAGTGAATGCAAAGAAGCTAGAGAAGGCTGAGGCTCGACTGAAGGCAAAGCAGGAGAAGCGCTCAGAGAAGGACACACTCAAGACCAGCACTCCTCTGTGAGTTTAGCAAGAAGGGCTGAGAAGAGAATAGAGCAGTCTCTATTGGGATGGAAGGGTGGCCGGGAATGCTAAAAACCATTCATTTCTCCCTTTGAAAGGGTCTTGGAAGAGGCATCAGCCAGCCAGGCAGGCAGCAGAAAAGAGAGTCGGTTGGAATCATCTGGCAAGAACAAATCATATGATGTGCGAATTGAGAACTTTGATGTGTCTTTTGGTGATAGGTGAGGGAGTGGCAGTGGGGAGGGGTTACGTTTTTCTTTTTCCAATTAAAGGAGAATTTGGATAGATGAAATGGGGCTTAAAATAACATTAGGTTTTTTGAAGTTCAATTTGCTGTATACTTGTCTCTGGAGCAGCACCCTTTGTCTTCTTCCTACTACCCCTGCAGGGTACTACTGGCTGGAGCAGATGTGAACCTGGCATGGGGCCGCCGCTACGGGCTGGTGGGTCGAAATGGGCTGGGGAAGACGACACTCCTGAAGATGTTGGCCACTCGGAGCCTGCGAGTTCCAGCCCACATTTCCCTGCTGCACGTGGAGCAGGAGGTTGCTGGAGATGACACCCCTGCCCTGCAGAGTGTGCTAGAGAGTGACACCATGAGAGAGGACCTTCTGCAGAGGGAGCGGAAGCTCAGTGCCCAGATTGCCACTGGCAGGTAAGGGCTCCAGATGGGGAATAACCAGCAGCCACGGTTCTTCAGAGAGTGCGTGTCGTACTGCCACGATCCATAACTTGCACGCTCATCCTAGTGAGCAGCAGAGCTTAGATCCTGGCGCTGGTGAGCTGTAAAGCCCTGTTCCTTCCACAGTGCCCACTGGCCTCCCTGACTTGAGCAGGTGCTTCCTGTAGTTCATTCCTGTCCTGGCAACAAGGCAGTCAGTGGCCTGCTCTCCAACTGCGTAGAGTCCAGGGCATTCTCCCTAGACTGCCCCCAGTCAGGCTGAGCGCTCTTCCTCCATTCCCACTCCAGGGCTGAGGGCTCAGAAGCTGCACAGTTGGCGGAAATATATGCCAAACTGGAGGAGATTGAGGCTGACAAGGCACCTGCCAGGTATTTAAAATTCCCCTTCCCTCCTTCAGATTTCACCTTTCCCTTCTGTTATCTGTTTCAACCAAGTTCTTCCATTTCTTCATTTCTAGGGCATCAGTCATTCTTGCTGGGCTTGGCTTTACCCCTAAAATGCAGCAGCAGCCCACCCGGTGAGTGGCCCTTGCCATTCTTGGCTGTGAACACTGTTGGCTTTGCCTCTGCCTATTCTGGTGAACACCTACCCCTGATGTGATCTCCGTTTCTTTAGGGAGTTCTCAGGTGGCTGGAGGATGAGGCTGGCCCTGGCCCGGGCTCTGTTTGCTAGGTGAGTCTCCTGGGTCAGTGTATGGATACTGTGGAAGATGGGCCTTGGCTCGTGGGAAGTCATGAGCTGCTGACCTAAAACCTCAAAGCTTACATTCTTCTTTTCTATAGGCCAGATCTTCTGCTGCTAGATGGTGAGTTTGAAAGGGGGCACCCTGACTTTGGGGTGGGGAAGGATGGCAACATCCAGGTTCTATAGCACTTTAATCCCAAATGTATCCTCCCCCACTTTTCCAGAACCCACAAACATGCTGGATGTAAGGGCCATCCTGTGGCTGGAGAATTACTTGCAAGTGAGTGCCTATAGGTGTTAGAGTAGGTCTAGGGAAGGTCTGCCTCTAAGACACCTGGGGGGCTGGAAGCTGACTGCTCTCCCAAACTGGGCCTGCCATCCTGTGACCCCTCAGACATGGCCCTCTACAATCCTGGTCGTCTCCCACGACCGCAACTTCCTGAATGCCATAGCCACAGACATCATCCACCTGCACAGCCAGCGACTAGATGGCTACCGGGGAGACTTTGAGACCTTCATCAAGAGCAAGCAGGAGCGGCTGCTCAATCAGCAGCGGGAGTACGAGGCACAGCAGCAGTACCGCCAGCATATCCAGGTGTGGGGACAGGCTGGGGGCCCATCCCGCGGGCATCGGAGTTGGCCGGAGTGAGGGAACCTGACCAGTGCTGACGCTCATCCGCCCGCAGGTTTTCATTGACCGATTTCGCTACAATGCCAACAGAGCCTCTCAAGTGCAGAGTAAACTTAAGATGCTGGAGAAGCTGTGAGTACAGTGCCCTTGACCAGGCCCTGACTCCTAGTCTCTTAATTTCTTCCCTCACTTTGCGGTCCACCCCTTACCCTCCCATTCTAGATCTCCCCTTTTCTAGAAACCAGCTTTAGTTTCCTCTCCAACAGGAAAGCAGAGCATTTTACGCTGCTGTTAGTCTTGCTCCCCACAGGCCTACGCAACCACTAATTTACTTTCTCTAATCTCTTTGCTTATTCTGGACATTTCATATAAATGGAACCCTATAACATGTGATGTTTTGGGCCTGGCTTATTTCACCTAGCATAACGTTTTCGAGGTTCTTTCATGCTGTAGCACGTATTGGTACTTCCTTTCTATGGTCAGATAGCATGTCATTGTAAGGATATACAGCATTTTGTGCATTGCTTCATCAGTCAAGAGATATTGGAAGTTTCCTTTTTTTTGGCTCTTATGAATAACAGTGCTATGAACATTTGTGTACAAGTTTTCATATGGACATATGTTTTCTATTCTCTGGGGTATATACCTCGGAGTGGAATTGCTGGGTTACAAGATAATTAATTCTATGTTTAACATTTTGAGGAACTGCCAAACTGTTCTCTAAAGCAGCCATACCATTTTATATTTCTACCAGCAATATACAAGGGTTCCAATTTCTCTGCATCCTTGCCAACACTTATTATCTGTCTTTTTAATTTTAGCCAGCCTAGTGGGCGTGAGTGATATTTCACGGTGGTTTTGATTTGCGTTTCTTTAATGACTAATGATGTTGAACATTGGGGGCTTAATCTTAAAGCAACCTTCCTAGAGGTGCTGGTTGGAGGAGGGCAGGGAGGCGAGCCTAAAATCAAAGGCTTAGGTTTTTGTGACATTGAAATACTTATCACGGTATCTTAACTGGTAGGCCGAAAACCTACAAAAAGGATAACCCTATTTTTTCAGCATATAGTGAACTAGAAGAAGGTATTCTAAAGTAAGAATGTAGTTTGGATGGTGGGAGTACAAGTCTTCTCTAAGTTTTCTCTGAATATATATTACTTGTATAATAAGAACAAACAAAGTTAGTTTTAAAGCCATAAACTTAGGGGTGCCTGGGTGGCTCAGTCGTTAAGCGTCTGCCTTCGGCTCAGGTCATGGTCCCAGGGTCCTGGGATTGAGCCCCACATCCGGCTCCCTGCTCAGTGGGAAGCCTGCTTCTCCCTCTCCCTCTGCTGCTCCCCCTGCTTGTGTTCCCTCTCTCGTTGTCTATCAAATAAATAAATAAAATCTTTAAAAATAATAAAATAAATAAAGCCATAAATTTAGTCTGCCCCCTCTCTCCTCAGGCCAGAGCTGAAACCTGTGGACAAGGAGTTGGAGGTGGTGATGAAGTGAGTGCTGGGCCGAGAGGCTGGTGGGAGCTCATGTTTCTGGCTGCTCGCATGTTCCTCACGACCACCTCCTGCAGGTTCCCTGATGGATTTGAGAAGTTCTCACCGCCAATTCTGCAACTAGATGAGGTGGATTTCTACTATGATCCTAAGCACATCATCTTCAGCCGTCTCTCCGTCTCTGCTGATCTCGAGTCCCGCATTTGTGTGGTATGGTTGCTGTTTCTCTGTTTCGTGAGCTGGGACTCTCCCATCCCAGCACATGGTGTGGCTTGGCCCAGATCCTCAGCTGCAAAGGGAAGTGGTGTGCAGGAGCAGGAGTTGGCCTGGGCCAAGGACTTTGCTCTACTTCCCTGCAGAGATAGAAAACCTGTTTGGTGGTATTTTATGAATATGTAGGGCAAGACTTTATCTTCCTAGTCTCAGATCTGAGTTTTCTCAAACCACGGAATAGGGAGAAATCAGGGTCAGATTTCAGGTCTTGACTCTGCCAATTGCTAGCTTGGTCACTAAGTGGAGATAGCAGCTACCACTCGGTTACTGGGAGGGTTCAGTCCCCTGCACTTAGTAGGTATTTAGCTGTTAATTCCCTTTACATTTTTACTAGTTCCTTCATTTTTATGTCTAGCTTCTTAATATTTTTTTTTAGTTGTTGAAGGAGTCATTGGTCAGAGCCAGTTCTCCTCTCCTTTGCTTCTGTGTTCTGCACATGGCCGCTCTCCAGCATTCTCATGGTTCTTTGGACAGGTTGGGGAGAACGGGGCTGGGAAGTCGACCATGCTGAAGCTGCTTATGGGGGACCTGGCACCTGTTCGGGGCATCAGACATGCTCACAGGTAAAGCCCCCGGTCCCCAACGACTGTGTAGCTATACTCCTCTATGGGCATCGCCTCCCACCCCATCTTTCCCCCTCTCTTTCTGCCTGTAGGAATCTGAAGATCGGCTACTTCAGCCAGCACCACGTGGAGCAGCTGGACCTGAGTGTCAGTGCTGTGGAACTGCTGGCCCGCAAGTTTCCCGGTACCGTAGGGATTTGGGTCGAGAAAAGAGGTGACCCCTACAGCTAGGCCTACCTTGGGGTGGGGTGCTGAGCGGCGAGCCCTGAGTCTAGGGATAAGGACATGGGCACTTGGAGGTAAGACTGAGGGGAGGGTGAAGGGAGGGAGTCGGGTCAAGAACCCACTTGATGGGGTGAGGCCTGTTCCAGGGCGGCCTGAGGAGGAGTACCGTCACCAGCTGGGCCGGTATGGCGTCTCTGGAGAACTGGCCGTGCGCCCTGTTGCCAGCTTGTCTGGAGGCCAGAAGAGCCGGGTAGCCTTTGCTCAGATGACCATGCCCTGGTGAGTTCTTGCCTTCTCCTCTCCCCATCTTGCCTAGTAGGAAATGTTTGTCTTGTCTTCGTATCAGGGGAGTTCATTTTCTCCCAACCCCCATAACTGCCTGCCTCCCTGGGTACTGCCTTCCAGCCCCAACTTCTACATTCTGGATGAACCCACAAACCACCTGGATATGGAGACGATTGAGGCTCTGGGCCATGCTCTCAATAATTTCAGGGTGAGTGTGCCTTCAGGCTGCCCACTCCTCCCCAAGCCTCAGCACCCCTGAGGCCCCCCCCAACCTGAGTGCCTCCCGCTCTCCTCTCTTTCAGGGCGGTGTGATTTTGGTGTCCCACGATGAGCGCTTCATCCGGTTGGTGTGCCGGGAGTTGTGGGTGTGCGAAGGCGGCGGCGTCACCCGGGTCGAGGGCGGGTTTGACCAGTACCGCGCCCTTCTCCAGGAACAGTTCCGCCGTGAGGGCTTCCTCTAGGGCCACAGCCTGAGGACTGTGCCCAGGACGTGGACTGGTCTCTCAGACCCCTGGGCCACCATGTAGGCAACCATCTCCAGGCCACGGACTTCCCCCGACTTTGGGGACAGCCTTATCTCCGAATCTCCTTTTGACTGGAGCATCCTCCGCACAACCCAGGGAGCCGCATCTAAGTGTCTGTGAGGACTGGTCTTCAAGGGAAGGGGTGGGAGGTGCCCTCTGGCTATAGATCCCCCCACTGCCCTGGCTCTGACTGGGCCCCAAGTGGCTGCTGTGTAAATTAAATCTCCCCCTGCATCTCCCTGGCCTCCTCTCTGCTGCTCCCTGGCAGGACTGCAGTACTTGTCCACTGTTAGGGGGTGTGGGCTCTGTGGTTTGGGGTTTTTATAACACTTTTATCAGTCATGCAGATGAAGCCATGGCAGAACGAGTCTCTGGAAGGAGACGTCATTAAAGCTGCTGGGCCTCAGAGGTCACCTGCCTGACTTCAGGTGGGCTGAAGGGCAGCGTAGTACATCACTGGGGTGCTGTTCCCCATAGCCCAGGCTCAGCCTTAGCTGAAGGGGGCTTGGGTTCTGCTGCCTCAGCCCCACTGCTTGTGGGAGTGAACTGATGCTGTAAGCTGGTCTCCAACATGTTTTGTCAACTGCTTAGTCCAGTGGTCTCTGACTTAGGCTCACCCTGCTTCTCTGATCTAGACCCTCAGATGGAGCTGAAGAGAAACCAAGAAACTATCTTTGTCCCCATTTTGCTTGGGTGGTTTCATGTTCTTTATTTTCCCTCGAACCACATAGGTAGGGGCCTGGGAAGTAGGGAATTGAGAATGGGGTCGAGTGGGAAGAAACAGCACTTTGTTTTCAAATGAAGCGATCTCGGAGAGGAGATGTTTAACAGAGGTAGTATGGCTTATAAAATTGTTTCTTGAGGACTCAGCTGCTCTATGTAATTGTAGGAGGCACTAAAATAGGAACCTTGCGTTTCTGAAAGATAACGGAGAAACCAGAGTCTGCAGAAGGAACTGGTTGGCCTCATGGAGAATTGTAGTCACAGAGCTCAACCTAGGATTCTTAGCCCCTGAGGCTATCGTGGTGTGTAGGTAGCTGGGGGAAAGAACCTGTTTTGGAGGAAAGGAGAATAAAGACAGGAAGGCTTTGTTAACTACAGAGCAGGTGCTGATGGACACAGGAAGCTGGCCAAAGGGCCGCTCGTCGGCCAGCCTCCTCAACCTCCCTCCCTCTCCCATGTCTGTGGCCATGCGCACCCTCAAAGTCCTGAGAGCCTTCTCACAGCCCCCACCAAACTCCCAACCTCAGGCCTGCAGGTGGGCCAGTCAGGGGCCATCTGGGGTGGGCTCCGTGCCTGCCTGTTTGCCAGGCTCTCAGCCCTTTCACCCCTCAGTAACTTGTGAATCCCTGTAGGAGTCTTCAACTCCTCAGTCAGTAAAAATGCAGTGGAAGGGTTCTGTGACACAGAGTCTGCTTCTTTGGAGGTGGCTTTGTGTACAGAGAGCACAGGCATTGGAGCTGGGCCTGAGATCAAGTCCCAGCAACATCACTAGTCATAGAGGGAACCACCAGCATTAGCTAGGTAACCACAGCAAATCGCTGAACCTTTTTGAACACCTGCCTCCTTGGTTTTTCTTTATAGGATTGTTGTGAGGATTAGCTGGCGAGCACATAATACATAAGCACTCAGAAAGTGATTCTTAGGCGACCAGTCTATGATTTGAAGACTATTATTTGAGAAAAGAGGTAAATTTTCTCTTGAGTAACTCCAGAGGTAGACCAGTTTGGGCTCAAAGGAAGGAAAACTTTTTAAATAGCTCAGGCTGCTTTCTGAGAGTGAGTCCCCATCTCAGACTGTTCAGCCCTGCCAGGCTCTGGAGAAGGGCTCTCTGGTTGGAGGAGCACTAGATAGCCTCCGGGTTGGCTTCCAATTTTATGATTCCATGAAAGAAACATGAAGAGCTTTTATATATGACAATATAAGCCTATGCTGCAGGACTTCAGAAAGGTAGGATGAATGAATTGCAGCAGCTGAGAAAGACCCTACAAAAAGTATAAAGTGAACTTCTGGAAATTAGGGAAGGGGAGTTGGCAGAAGATGGTTGTCTTGAGGGATGGAGAATGTGGGCAAAGTCACGCAGCTCCATCCTAGAGAGCACAGGGCAGGGAGGAGAGAGGCAGGTGACACAGAAGACTGCTCTTGATCATCCCAGGTAGCCCATCATGGCAGCCGCCCCTTTCATGCTGTGGAGAGCCTATCTAACCCCAACCACTGGGAAGCTGATCCTTCCACAGCTGCTGGTGCTGGAGCTGCCCTGCCCACGTGAGGTCTTTAAACCAACCCCAAGCTGGCGGGGTTGAAAGGCCTCAGTCTGCAGGCTCTTCATTGAGATCCTGGCCTCCCTGCTTCTGCTGGCCTTCCCACACTCAATGCCTTCTCAGACAACCTGGCCGGTTCCCAGTGGACCGGGGTGCGATGGGTCTCTGTAGCAATCTGCATGCCGTTCAAAGATGCCAGTCACAGAATTATTTATTCCAGTGTGATCTTAACTGTCTTGAGATTTGCTCGATGTAGACATTCTACTAAGCTCTCACTTGTTTCCAGGTAAATTTTAGCACAGAATAGGAGAGAAGGTGCCTCTTACCCTGTCTGGCCATGCCCCAGCCAGATCTGTCATTTTGGAACAGAACATCCTGCTAGGAGCTCCTCCCCAGGCCTGGTCGGGTCCACCCACAGATAGAAACCAAACAACGCCCCGCTAGCGTCAGAGCACCGTGGCTGTGCATCAGCCTGAGCATGCAGACTCGATGACAGCCTCCAGGAGGTGCCAGGTGGGCTGGCAGGGTAGGTTCATCACCCGACTGCAGGGCTGGGAGGGTTTTTCAAACCCGGAGCAATGGACTCTGCTTCAACCCCACGCTCCTTCGGGTGGGTTTCCCAGGACTGTGTGCTGCCCCCATGACAAGCTGCATGCGGTTATTATTAAGATCGTAGTTTCCAGGTTGCCTTGATATCCCTGAATGGCTTGCTCGTTTTTGCATCTTCTATGCATCTTCCAAGCTCAATTAAAATGCTTGGTAAGTGAATATTTGGGGAACACTGATGTGAGAAAAAGTAGACAACAGCATTGGAGGAGGAGAGAGCAGAGGCAAGGAGACCAGCAGGGAGGCCATGACCAAAGTCCAGCCCTAAAGACATGGGGTCAAGATGATGGAGGCGGAGGTGAGATCAGGGAGGGTGGTGTGCAGACTGAGCAAGAGGTTTTGAGTTCTGCCCAAACGAGGGAGGGCTCCTTTTTCTGGGCCTGAGTCTTGAAATAAGTGAAATGAAATGAAAGCTTTACGACACTAAGGTTAAAAAGGGATCCTTTTGAACCTCCCCTTGTTCCTTTCCACACAATGCTAAGGAAATACTAACGGTTACTATTTATTGGGGTCTTTTGTAACAGATACCATTGTAAGTGCTTTACTTGCCCTAAATCAGTCCTCACAACCCTACAAACTGGCAAAGTTATTATCCCCATTTTACAGATAAGGAACTAGAGTTGACAGTGGGTGTCAGGGCTGGGATTCAGGCCAGGCTGGCTCCAGACCTCAGCTCTTAAGCTGCCAGTTAGCTCCTGCTGTGACAGGCTGAACGGTCCAGTTCGTAATTCCAACACTTAAAACTCATCATTCATTGCAAGGGGCAGGAGAGGGGTGAGGTTTGAACAAGCTTCTCTCAGGAGTGCAAGCTGATGAGCGGGAGTACCTGGCACAGGGCCTGACATGCTACGTGCTCAGGGAATCGTTAAGTGGTCTGAAAACACACAGTACAGCGAAGAGTCTCACGCGGGGTCCGTTAGCCCAGCTCTACCACTGAGGGCATCTTGGGCAAGTCAACCTCTCCGAGTAAATTCTCCTTATCCATAAAATGGGCATAATGCAGTTTGTCCTGCCTGCTTCTTTGGGTGGTTGGATGGATTAATTGAAACAAGGTCTTGTACAAACTGAATAAATTTTTTCATAAACTGTAAAGTGCTATGGATCCCAAAGGGTAGCATTTCATGGGAGAACTGATGTGGCAGCAGCCTAGAGTCTCCTCTGGAGATGAAGAATCAGACATGAGCACACACATGGTCAGGGCCATCATCAGGATGTCGCCGCAGGAGGGCCACCCCACAGCCCTCCTTGTCTGCTGCGCCAGGCATCAGCGTGTGCGCGGGAATGCAGCACGAGAGCGCCCAGCACCTGCTGACTTGCATGCGGTTGGGCAGAAATCACCGTGTAATTTAAGCCCATTATAATATGTATACATCATGCCCTGTCAGTAATTCTAGGTTTCTGTTTTCCTTATGTTAAATAAATGGGTGGTTTGGAAGTGATTTTTGCTTTACTGTATATAGAGAGACCGTTGAAACCCTAAATTAGAGTACATGAATGTCAACCGACGCTACAGCATTTTTAACCCTGAAGAATGCTTCACAGATGTTCTCTTTTGGTCTTGTCCTCCCACTAACCTTGTGTTAAATGGCTTTTGCTGAGTTATTCCCATTTTACAGAACAGGGGTGTGAAGCAGAAAGATGTAAGGTGTCTTGTTCAGGTTCAAATACCTGTTTTCATGCAGAGAGGGGCTGAGAACCAAAGTATGTGGGTTTTTAGCCTCGCCACATCTCTCCAGATCAGCTGTTCACAGCTTTGTTCTCCTGCTCTTTGTACAATGGGTGACATTTTCCTGAGCATGCCCAGGGTCAGGAGCCCTTTTGTCCTCTTAGGGAAGTATTTGAACCTGGGATGAGGGTAAGTGACTGTGAGTCTGATTTGTTTTAACTTGTAAATTAGGGAGCTAGCTCTGGAATCAGAAAGAACTGCATTTGAGTCTGGATTCTATCATTGAATGGCTATGTCATCTTGGCAAGTGAAGCTGCTCAGTGCCTCAGTTTCCTGATCTATAAAATGATAACAGCAATGGTCCTTACACTATAGGTTTATTGTGAATATTAAATCAGATAATACAAGCAAAACTCTCATCATGGGCCCACTAGTTCCATAAATGTTAGCCATTATGATGATAATTAATATTTGTTGTGACCTTCACTGCTTTACTGATTTTTAGTGAGGTGATATTTATGATGCCCTGTGGCTGAAAACCACTGAATTTAGTCGTGGTGCCTCAACCAAAATGACAGGTACCTACACCTCCAACTTTGTGTCCTTAGGCCTAGAAAGGACTCCTTCTTGGATTCCTCTCCCACTGCAAAGACTTTTCCTCCAGATTCTTCTACACATACACACACGTGCCCCTAGACTCTTAATTCTTTCTGGATATTCTATACTCAATCTGTTCCATCACTCAATACTTTGTTCCAAGTTGGGAATTCTCCATCAGTAGAGGAGTCTAGGTTTTTCTTGACTGCTAGGGACCTTTGAGTATAGTCATTCTGAACCTTCTTACCCCCAAAGATTTCTTCCTCCTCTTCTTCCACAAACTCTATAGTCAGAACAGATGTATGGCACACCCAGGACTTGGAAGTAGAGTTACCTTAGAGTAAAATTTGTAAGAACAAATGAACAATGGTTGAGATGTGGAAGTCATTCAAGAGATTGTTCATTGTGGTTTGGTGTCAGGGTTGGGGGAACATTTAAGAACTATCAGGTGAATGAGGCACAATTAGCCAAGGAAGAATAAGTGATTGGAATCAAGAGTGCCAGGATCCTGCAATGGAGAAGAGAAAGGATGAGAGACCAAGCATTTTCAGTGGGTCCCCAGACCTGCTGGGCAGAGGCAGACTCTACCTGGTCTGGGTTCCTTGGCTTGGGACTTGGCTTGTGTGGCCTTTCTCACCCAGAGAGGATGTACCGACCAGTAAAGTTGGATTTTCAGGTCTCCTGTCAGCTGCATTTCTAATGACACATTAATAAACTGACATCTGGTTTAAGTGACTTGGCAAGTGGCTTGATCTGAGTCTCTTCTGAGATTGTGGCTTGATCTAACAGTAATATACAGAGCACTATGTACCAAGCATTGTTCTAAGTGTTTTACATGAATTGACTAATTCTCACAGCAAAACAGTGAGGTATGGGTTATCTTTATAAGTGAGAAAATGGAGGCCTAGAAAAAATTCAAAAAGCAAAAGAAAACTTGCTCAGGTCCAGCCAGCTCGTGAGACTCTGAGCTGGGCTTGTGCTGAGGTCACGGTGAGCCCAAAGCTCCAGCCTACCCACTCTAGCACAGCAAGGCGCCTCGACCACGTTAATATTTAGTACCTGAGGTGGTGAGGAGCAGCTCTGTGCTATGGTGACCTCAGCAAGTACTGGGGCCCGAGGAGGGCCACATCTGAGCAGCCTGCCAGCCCTCCTGGGGCATACTGCCATGTTTCAAAAGATAATATGAAACAAACCTAATTTGTTAAATAATAATTTTCCCATTAATATTTAATCAAAAACATAATATGGTACTAATCGCAGTTTCTGATCAGCCTTAAATAATCACAGTTGCCAACCCAAGTTAGTTGATTCTGGCCCCAAAAGGAAAGAAACACTTTTTTTTTTAAAGATTTTATTTACTTATTTGTCAGGGAGGGCCTGTCTGGGAGCAACTAGCTCAGGTCCAAACAGCCCCACTGAAAACAGCTGATAGAGGTAACCCCAGGGTGGCCCCCCCAAGAACTTGGAAATGAGGGCATAAGCTACCTTCTGAGAATCAAACTGAATGATTGTCTCCTAATGGACCAGAGAGAGGATATAGACTAGCTGGTCTAAACTTCCTAAAAGAGGGATGTATCAACCAACAGTGTCTATCCCAGCACCAGCCAGAAGGGTGGCCTCGAGGCTGCTTTAAGTGCCAGAGCTCTTAATAGGAGACCCTTTCCTGTAAAAATGAACAGGTCAGGCCATCAGAGCCTGGTGCCATCAAAGTTCTAATCATGCTGGCACCCCCCTTGTTTTGATTCTGTGTTCATGAAGTGATCCCTTGAGGATCTCGCTCCCCCAAGCTGGCCTATTAGGGAAGATGTGGCCAAAGCCTGAGCCCGGGACTGGGACAGAGCTGGCTGCCACCTGGTCCTGCCATTTATCAGCTCAGTGCCTCAGTCCAAGTTCTCTAACTTCTCAGACTACAATTCTCCTTTGGACAAGATGGGAGGATAATTTGCATAAGCTCACTAAAAAGACTGGGGCACCTGGCTGGCTCAGACCATACAACTCTTGGGGCGCCTGGCTGGCTCAGCTGGTTAAGCGTCTGCCTTCGGCTCAGGTCATGGTCCCAGGGTCCTGGGATCGAGCCCCGCATCGGGCTCCCTGCTCAGTGGGAAGCCTGCTTCTCCCTCTCCTTCTGCCCCTGCTTGTGTTCCCTGTCTCAAGGCAGGGTCACAGGAATGAAAGCACAAGTGCCCAGCTGCTAGGAACTTGTAGAAAACTTAAGGGTTTAGACAATAGATACACTCCTTTCCCTGCATTTTCAGGCTTTTTTGGATTCTCTGTGATGTGAATGTCACTTTTTTCTTTTCACATTAACAGGGACCTATTTAAATTTAGAGGCACTTTACTGATTAGTGTTTTGTTTTTTTTTTTAAAGATTTTATTTATTTGACAGAAAGAGACACAGAGAGAGAGGGAATACAAGCAGGGGCAGTGGGAGAGGGAGAAGCAGGCTTCCCACTGAGCAGGGAGCCCGATGCGGGGCTCGATCCCAGGACCCTGGGACCATGACCTGAGCCGAAGGCAGACGCTTAACGACTGAGCCACCCAGGCGCCCTGGATTAGTGCTTGATTATAACCAGGTACTCTAGCCCAGCCAAGTTGACGCAGGAGGCTAACCACAACCAACCCCATTTACTTCTACTCTAGTTCTCCCCTTACAGAGTGGGCTCACCCCAGCCAAACTCCCAGTGGCTCCCTCCGAGTGCTCCCCTTCTTCAATATCAGCCCATGCTTCCCAATGACCAGTCCCTGCCCTTTTTATTATGAAGGGAACATAGCAAAGGGCATTTGAAAGCGAGGGGGAAATTACTCACAATTTCATTACATACAAATTTCATTTGTATCTTGCCAGATCTTTATTCATGAACACACTACATATAATTGCATTTTTACAGTCATGGGACCCTTGCTGTTTTGTATTTGTCTTTAAAGTTAACATTATTGGGACACCTGGGTGGCTCAGTCAGTGAAGCGTCTGCCTTTGGCTCAGGTCATGATCCCAGGGTCCTGAAATCGAGTCCCAAAGTGGGCTCCCCACTCAGCAGGGAGTCTGCTTCTCCCTCTCCCTCTTCCTTTGCCCCTCCCCACCATCGTGCTTTCTCTCTCTCTAATAAATAAAACCTTTAAAAAAATAAAGTTAACATTATTTTTATATCAAAAACTCTTTTTTGTAATTGCTATTACAGTTTTCATAATTAAAAACTTTAATGGATACAAAATAGTCTACTGAGCAGATGTATCGTAGCTTACTTAAACTTTTCTTTGTTGTTGGACATTTGAGTTGCTTCTAAATTTTCACTATTTTGGATAAATGCTACAATAAACATCTGTGTGCACACCATCTGATTTTTATTTTTACTTTTTTTTAATTTGTTTTTTTATAATCTCTACAGGCAACATGGGGCTGGAATTCACGACCCCAAGATCAAGAGTCGCACTCTCTACTGACAGAGCCAGCCAGTCGCCCCTCTGAGTTTTTAATTGGTAATATAGGAATTAAAATATTTCCACCAAAGAGCTATAATGATTAAATGAGATAATGTGGGAGCACCTGGGTGGTTCATTTGGTTAAGGGTCTCACTCTTGGTTTTGGCTCAGGTCATGATCTCAGGGTCATGAGATCAAGCCCTGCATTGGGCTCCTCGCTCAGTGGGGAGTCTGCTTGAGATTCTCTCTCCCTCTCCCTCTGCCCCTCCCCCTGTTCTCTCTCTCTCTCTCAAAATAAATAAATATTTTAAATCTTTTAATAAAAATAGGGGCACCTGTGTGGCTCAGTTGTTAAGTGTCTGCCTACGGCTCAAGTCATGATCCCAGGGTCCTGGGATTGAGCCCCACATCGGCTCCCAGCTCAGCGGGAAGCCTGCTTCTCCCTCTCCCACTTCCCCCTGCTTGTGTTCCCTCTCTCACTGTCTCTCTCTCTCTCTGTCAAATAAATAAAATCTTTAAAAATATATTTTAATAAATAAATGAGATAAGGGGTATAAAGCACTTGATACAGAGCTTTACATACAGTAGGTACAAAATAAATGGTGGTCACTATTATCAGAACTTAATTCATACCAATTTGGACCAGACTTTCTTTTGTGTACCTGCTAAAGACTCTCAAGAGAGGAAGAAGAAGCAAGGAAATTTTATAGAATCTGAAGGGATGTATCAAGGCTGTAGTCATTCGTTAAAGAACCT